ACTACCTGCTGAGGTATACAAGAATGGTGGTAGAGTTCTCTTAGTCAGGCTAACGGAAGTGTTAGCCAGTATATGGGAATCAAATACGATCCCCTCCGACTGGTCTAAGTCACTCATCATCCCAGTCTTCAAGAAAGGCGAGAAGTCCTCTTGTGATAACCACAGAGGAATCAGCCTGACAAACATAGTGTCTAAGATCCTAAGTTCTATAATTCTCCGACGCCTGAGTGGAGCTCGGGAACAGCAAGCCCGAGAAAACCAGGCAGGCTTTAGACCTGGCCGTGGATGTATCGACCAAATATTCACACTGCGCCAGGTCCTGGAACATAGGCATGCTTACAGACGCCCGACAATAGCTGTATTTCTCGACCTGAAGGCGGCATTTGACTCCGTTGATCGAGAAGTCTTATGGCAGTGTCTGTCACTGAAAGGCGTGCCTAGTAAGTACATCACCTTATTGAAAGCTCTCTACTCGAACACTTGTGGGCATGTTAGAGCCTATGGTGAGTTGTCCAGGGAGCTATACTCATCAAGTGGTGTCCGTCAAGGATGCCCACTATCCCCATTCTTATTTAATTTTATCATAGATATTCTTATGGAGGTTTCCCTCTCGTCACCTAATTACAAAGACGTTGACCGATCACAGGTGAATTTTCCTTAGATCTAGAATATGCAGATGACATAGTCCTGTTAGGTGAAGACGCTGACAAGATGCAGAGTCTTCTGAACACTTTGAGTGGGAATTTGAGAATGTTTGGGATGCGATTTTCACCACCCAAATGCAAATTTTTGCTCCAGGACTGGTCTTCAGCGGTACCGCGGTTAACAATAGAGAGTGAAGTGGTTGAGTGTGTTGACCACTTCACTTACCTGGGAAGTAGGATCAACCCGGTGGGTTAGTTGCCGATGAGATTTCTGCACGGATACAAAAGGCTCGATTGGCTTTTGCCAATTTGCGCCACCTATGGCGCCGCCGTGATATTCGTTTGTCTATTAAGGGTCGCGTGTACTGCACAGCAGTCCGCTCTGTTCTACTGTATGGCTGTGAAACATGGCCATTGAAAGTGGAGATACAAAAGGTTCAGGTATTTGACCACCGTTGCCTTCGTAGTATAGGACGTATTCCGTGGTGTCACCATGTGAGTAATGCAGAAGTTAGGTGTAGAGTTTTAGGGAGAAGAGGTAAGTCAGTCGACGAGGTTGTGAACCTTCATCGACTGAGATGGTTGGGACACGTACTACGTATGCCTAGTCACCGATTGCCTCGTCACACAATGTTGGCTGAGGTGGGTTCAGGCTGGAAAAAGGCCCGAGGTGGCCAGACTAAAACATGGCACCAATGTATGAAGTCTCTGACTGTTGGTTTAAGCCATGTAGGACGATGCAGACTAGGTGGTTGGGGTCCACGGGACAAGAGGAACCAGTGGTTGGAGACCCTAGGTGATATGGCTCAGAACCGAAGTCAGTGGCGCAGATGTATACACACATTATCCTCATCTTAACAACGCTATACCGAATCTCACTATTTTGTCACTCCTCTTTCCTTTCTTCTCGTACTTTATATTTCTTTTGACTGCATTCACTTATCTTCATCCTTCACCTCACTACCTTTTTACTTGATGTGCTGATATGAGGTGTGGCAACTCGGACCGTTACGCAGTAATGCCTGGTCCTATGTTGATAATGATGATGATGATGTGGTTTTCAGGTTAAATACTCCAGTTTAAAAACCTCATCACATAGAGGAATGGGTAGCAGCTTATGAAAGAAAACTGCTACGATATGGTGTTAATAGGCTTTAGTACTTTTTGACAAGTCACACGTTAAAGCAGTGAGGAAGCTAATCACTTTTGGGTCTAACATATTGACAGCCAGGATTTAAAATCACTTATTTGATAGAAGGCAAAAGCTATTGGAACACCACTTGAGTGTAAACTGATGAGGAGAGGGAAGGTTCAAGGCACACTCTAGGATCCTCTATATTTTCTACTCTACATCAACGAATTACCAGAAGCGCTTGAAAATTCGATGTTCTTATTCGCTAAAATTGCTAATGGTTGGAGAATTATTCGAAGCAATAGGTAAGTATGGGCAATAAGCGGATAGGAGTGAATTAGTCCACTGATCAGAATTATATTGCCTAAAAAACATTCTACGAAAAGTACAGTAATGCAAGCATGTCACAGTAGTTGTAACCAGTGTTCCATTGATGGAACACTATTACCATCAGTCTTGGAACCAAAAGACTTAGAGATGACTGTAAGCCGCGATCTAAAAAAGCTCATGTACTGCGATGCAGCTGCAGTGAAATGATGATGTGCGATCAAGAAATATTTAAGTTACCTTAACCTACTTTAACCGCATTAAAATTACTGCATTCAGGTAGCCAGCCTAAGCCTCAAAAAGGAACCAATGTAACTGAAGATTTTCAACAAATAGGCAACGTGTTGAATAGTCTTCCAGCCTGCGTTCCGAAGAGCAGCTAGTTAGTTCACTAGTGGGGGGACTTATGTTGCCGAATAAACGTTTAATTTGCCATACCTCATATCAGCCAACCACGGTTGTGGAAACAAAAATAAGAGGGAAATTAGGAAGGCAGCAATCAGAAGCGGTAGGAAGTTGTAAAGAAAAAGGGAATGACAGGATATTGAAGTCCACCACTACGATCAAGACGAGGATAATATATGAAAACATTTGGGAAACTGAGAATGATTCTGAATTACATAACCTAGTCTTCAACTACTGGTTTCTATTGTCACGGGAACTTCAACCGAGAAGCCTACATATTCCAACACGCCTCACACCAACAGTCAGACTTCATAGACTGCAGCCACGTTCTAGCCTGACTACCTCTGACCTTCCTCCAAGCTGACCCTACTTCAGCCAACATTGTACTTAGCTGGAACCTTTCAGTAACAGACCGCCATAAGACATCACAATCGATGGAGTCGAATGCCGTCTTCAAGTCAAGAAATACAGATAGTGTCGGGTACCGTTAAGTACACCTGTGTCCCAGAGCCTAGTAGAGGGTGAAAACCTGTTCAATACACCAGCAACCAGTTCTGAAGTCCGACTAGTTTTCTCGGCTCTGCCGACTCCGAGCTTCGCTTTACGCTAACGGGACGCAGAATTTCAGAAAGGTTGTTTTTCAGGCTAATTTCCCCGTAGTTATTGCAAGAGGATATTTTACCTTTCTGCAAGACTAAGAGAACCAGGGATTGGTACCAGTTGGGGGATTATATCTGGTTTCGGCACATTAAATAACACTTCAAGGAATCTGACCCCCAGTCAACATTTTTGTTGGGAAAAATAAGGCAATGTTGAGTCACACTACAGAAAATGTCAGGTCAGATGTACACCATGACGTAGGGTTTCGCAATTTTCCCTCCAAGTCTGCTCCGATACTCATGGACACTGCAACTGACCCTATGTTCAGCATATTGGACCCCTCGTCTGGCATAAAGTTTTTACGGTAGAACTAAACTAGTGATGAGAAACCTCAAGAACGATCAGTTAAATTGCAGATGTGCTATTCAAGGATATTGGTCACGTCTGTTTACCGGATCGCTGACAATATATAAATCGGATATCTTATGACGAAGACAACGTTGTGGGTTATTTACAAGAATCTGGATCGCTTGCTAGAAGTCTAAATCATGAATGTGATCTTGCAGTGGATTGTCTATCTAACAATGAGAAAAGAGATGGCTTCATCTTCCGTCGTAGCAGCTGTTACAAGTAATTCCACTTTCATCTGCTCACTAAAAATGTCACAGTGAGATAGTGTTACTTCTAATAAACAGAGTAAAATGGAATAACAGTCGATCATAGTTTTAATCCTATTTTAACATTACAAAAATCCTTTGAGAATGGGATAGTTTTCCAAAGGATCACACTTAATTCTGTAACATATGATGATTTTAGCACTACTGTAGGTTGTTGCAACACCTGTAATATTAGTAGGAGCCCTGGCAGATGTTAGTTAAGCCTCTTAAATGCAGTGGTATCAGCACTATAGAGATATTTAAGCCAAATAATCAGCAGGTTGGATGTGAAGCTTGGTCAAGTAATACAGCAAAAATAAATGGATTTCTTGTTTGTAAACGTAAATATAACCAAGAAAGACAACCTAAACAGGACTGGACAAGTCACATACATATTTCTCAAGATATCACAGATCTTTGGTGTACATGATTCAAATGCCAAAAGAAATTCCCAATGGCTAAAGGACAGACTAGAAGAATCCATCCTATCAGTTGTGGAAAAATGAGCAGCATTGAGTACTATACTAAACACAGATGCCTTGCAGTCGTACATGGCATTTCTCGAATAGATCGCTCAATTAATGTTCACAAAAAGCATTTCGTTGATCCGACGACCAAAGCGCAAACAAACAACGTTGAAAATAAGCGGAGTCGTTTGAGAACGTTTTTAAGACCTTTAGCAGGAACACGAGTGAGTACATCACATGTGCTATGGTTTCATATGGATGAGTGGCAATACAAACAGTGGTATAGTTTCAAAGATGATGGACCTATCACTAATCTGAATACAGTTATTTTCTACGTAAATTAGACTTATAAAGTGTAAGTAAAATACTGTTTCATTTAATAACTACAGTGTCCTTCATGTACTCCATTTTGGCTGACTGGAGAATACTCGAACAGGACTAGCCCGTCACTAAACTTTAGTCGTATTGTCTTAAAAACTGACCCAGTGAATGTCGACAGTATCCATAATGGCCCTACATTCTGCATCACATTAGATCCCTGGACCAATTTTACCTGATTTGGTTAGCGCTGACTGACAAGTGAACACGGAGAAAGATGGCTGCCATAAACGCTTATGTTCAGCTTATACATTATCTAATATATGTTCAACGAAATAGTGTAAACCAGTTGATTTCTTATTGCCCGCTTCCCAGTCAAGTCAAGATTTATAATTTGCATTTCAAATAGAACATACGAGTATAATATGAAGATCCAACGATGCTCACTCACGTTTTATAAATAGAGCCGGAAGAGCATAAGTAACAACACTATATAGAAAAGCGCGGTTGAAATTACGAAACTCAATATTTTATAGGTTCACAAATGGCTGTTGACGGGATGAGAAAGGCTCTTGTTTAACTGCTTTTAACATCTGAAATTAGTCACTAGCAGATAAAGAAGCGATATATAAGCAATAAAAAAAGATCAGGTTATTACTGTCCTACTCTGTAAGCTCGTGCTATGACCTTGAGTCCACACCAAGTTTGTTTCCAAGATTCTCACGCTAGACTCTAAAAGTCTCCTACGGGTAGAACATTCTAAGATTTAAAAACTCCTTTGAAGTATATATTTCCTCCGATATTTTTCTTACTGTGTTCAAGTTTCGAATTTTGTGTTCTGCCTATAAGACTGTAGCTAGGTTTCGGCAAGTTGTAAAGCAGGTGACCTGAAGTACGCAGAATGTCGTACGTCATAAATAAGTCACCTCTCGGTCTTCTCTATTCCAGGGGATACACAGTTAACGCTGCCATGCATTCCACGTCCGGCTTCAGCCTTCGTCTAAAAATGATCTACGTGCAGCACATTTGGATTAGTTCTATTTGCTTTTCATCTCTGAAGTGTCAAGGAGAAAGGAGGACAGCTCAAAATATTCTGTGGGGCTGTGTGGGGAGGTGCAACACTTGGTGGAAACATAGGTGGTCAAACTTCTCAAGGACTAATCGCAGGGTTACGAATGCCGCATTTGCACGGAATGCATTCCTGTAACAGGCAGCATGATGTTTAAGGTCGTGGGTGACTACGACCAGAGGTATTTTTCTACTAAAGATGCAAAAGGAGTAAAGATGGATTGGGCATACACTGGAAAGACCATTCAGGGACATCACGCTCCAGGCATTCTAGTAGAACCCAGATGGGAAACTAAGAGTTGGGCGTCCCAGCTGAAAGTGACATAGAAGAGATGGTATGAGGAAGGAATGAAAGTTTGTGGGCAGTCGTGGAGCGGGATTGAAAAGACTGGAGAGAAGGAGTGCATTGGAGGTGTACTGAAGCCCTGTGTTCCACTAGGAAGCCGAGGGAAAAATAATAATAATTTGAGGCAAAAAGTAGACGAATTTAAAGACGGAACTTTACTTTTTGGTGGAGAACGAAGAGTAGAGTCTTTAGGTGTCTACTTATTTGTTCAATAGATCACAGCAAGTCTAGTTCGAAACTGGGGATAATTCAGCCGTTGCTTGAACCCCCTAATATCCTTGAAGATAGCACGGGTGGCGCAGCCATGACCTTGAAGTTCATTCACTCTTTATGAAATTCTGACGGCAAAATGTGCGTTGGCAACCGGGTTTACCAGAATCCAGTATGAATGGAGGGCTGATCATTTAGACCTGAAAAACGAATAACGAAAGCTAGCAGCAGTGCTGCGCGGAAGTACATCGATCACGATATACCGTTAGTTGTGATGTTGTTACTTAACATCATTAATTGTTGAGGCTGCAAAAATTACGGGATACAATATCCAAACCAACTATTTTGGAATTAGGTTATAAATGAAAAGGTGGGATTATATATGGAAGTGAAGAAAGCAAAGCTGAAGATGAAGATATCACAGTGGAATGGAGAAAAGAGGATCTGGAACTACATATGTGCTAAAGCGGTAAACACGCTCATGGGGAGAGGGATGATCCCAGTGCTGTCTATTCAGTGTTATCGCACCGGGGCAACAGAGACATCATGGTGGTGCAGAGCGTGCTGAGATAATACATAAGGAGGACGTTTTGTTGCTCTGAGATGACGTACATCTGAAGCGCAAATGCAACCTAAAAAAGTGTGAAACTGGCTATATGTTACTCATACTTGTTACAGTTGATACCCCTCCAAAAAATTACGGTCAGCAAATATGATCTGTCTTTGCTGGGACTGAAGTTCGTCGGACTATCGGACGTCTAAATATCCCCGGGCACTAACTCATTTGGTGAGTCCCTGGTAAAGCATTGATTTCATGTCTTCAAGCACTGGCTCACTATGTAGGGCTACACAGAAACAATTAATGCAGGAACTGGATAAGTTTCTCAAAAACAGCATAGCTACGTCAGACGAGGATTCAAATTGGGTCACTACCACTGTGAAACTGGTGGTAGATGGAAAGCCACCAAGACTGCGGTGACTAACTTCTTACGCTTAATAATCAACCGCTAGAGCAGAACTGCAATATGAACGAAACGGGGTGTATCCTGCATACATCAAGTGGTTCCCTGTACTTCTAAAAGTAGGTCTAAGGGATGCGTATTCGCAAAGTCCTCCTGATAGCACCTCCAGTGATTTGACCACCATTATAACCCCATCTTGTTGCTTGGGTATGAATCATCGCCTTTGGACTAACAATATCATCTGCAACGGTCAAGGGGGTCGGGATTCAGATGATACCTGGATTGGATGGTTGTGGACCTTATCAGGAAGATATTATAAACAGTGGTCAGGAAACTGAATCGAAAAGAATTGATATTGCGGGTCCGCTTTGATTCTTGACAAGTCTTGTGCTTACACGTCAAAAGCTGCTGTATTTTTCTTTACCCAAAACATTCTTCCTGATAGCATAAGTAGGTTCTTTGTGGCTAAAAAAGCTGAAAATTGAAGAAATTTCTTATGAATCGACGGTCATATTACTGAATAACAAACTATGCAAATGAGCTAATGATGTCAGTTGGTTACAACACAAACTTCGATTTTTGCGCACCTTTGTTCCCAAAAGTGGAACCTATCTGTTTGATGGGAGGTGAAAATTCATGCCCGTCTCATGAGTTTCAGCAACTTTTAATAGGGTAACGCATATCAGTAATTTGGTAAACGGTTTATATAATGCCAAAAACCATTTTGTAAACTTCCAAGAGTTATCGGTTTGACGGTGCTTGTAAACAGGTATCTCTCATGTTCAATCCATTGTACGAAGATAATAATATTTGTTATCTTCACTTTGGCGCTCTGCATATGCTGAAAAGTGGTATCTTCTTCGTCTCATAACCGCGATCTTCTGATATTTTTGGTAGTTTTACGACCTCCCGTCTGCACCATTCAGAACTCGTAAAGCCTTGGAGATATTTCGGCACACATACTAATGCGGGAATAAAATATTTATTCATTATTTATTTATATAAAGTGGGACAGAAACTTTCTATGGGGAATTCCTAATAGTCAAACGCCTGGCTTAAAAAACTTGTTGGTGTTCTTGCAGGCACTCTTTTCTGATATATTTTGCCTAAGTTTCCAACTCGGATATCACCTGTCTTATGAAGTTTGTTCCCAGCGTCTGGTATATGGAGAACCAAACGTTTCGTAACGATGTTTTTGGTAGGATACGGTGCGGCCTTGCAATGGCCTCTGGCACGAAGTATCCCGAACATAAGAGTTTGAGCCACGACGGCTGTGCAGGCCTGGCTCAATGTGAAATGAAAGGTCCAGTTATGCAGTGAGTGCTCGGATTACAACACGGCCGTCAGCTACAGCTGAATATTTCCCCGAGGTCTTTACACGGGAACCTCCTTAAGACATCGATTCAACAACGGAAACATTAAAGCCCAACCGGATAAATTATGTGGATATCGATAACAATAATGTTTTGGACATTAAGTACCCTCGATGTAGAAAAATCAACGGGACCGGATGAGCCGCTGCTACTCATAGAGCTCGCACTCAGTATACCTGGCTCACTGACTGCTGTGTTCAAACCGTTTCTCAGCAAAGGCATACTCCCCTTTGATTAGAAGGATGCTATAGCCACACCTAACCACAAGGCAGGGTCTAGGCAGCATTCATCGGATTACAGGCCGATAAGTTCGGCTAGTGCTGCAGTAAAAATCCTAGAAAGAGCAATCAAAAAGGCCGGTATAGCTTACTTATAGGGCAACACCCTGTTGTCTTTCTCGTAGCACGGCTTTCACAGAAGTTTCTCTTACTTGATGAACCTTCTCACGGTCAGAGAAAGTTAGGTTATCTAAGGATGATGGGATACCTACAGATGTCACTTTCATAGACTTTAGTAAGGCTTTCAACAAGGTACTCACTCCAGCCACGTTATGATTCAAAAGGTGGTATTAAAGTTAGGTTGTACTTTCGTACATCAACACTCAGTCTTCCTAGGATTCACTGTAATTGTACCAGTATGAAATGTCCAGAAGCTATGTGGTAACTACTGTTCACGGGTATTTTAGGGCAGTATCTTCTACTGATTGGGGCTCAAATTTTATCGTAACAGGATGTGAACGGAAAAGGTGCAAGAATAAGACGGAGTAGCAGTAGGTGTCTTAGTAGTGAGGTGGAAATTGGGGAGAAGGCATATGGAATGAAGTTAGTTGTGTGCCAAAGATTTGAAGGCAATAAATGGCACTCAGGGATAGGAACTGTATGAGTGATTTACGAGATGAAAACCCAAGCAGTCAGTAGTTATGCCGTTTGCTAGAGATTTATAATGCGTTTAAGTGTCTGGTACAGGCAGCAACTTTACACCGGCAACTCGCATCAGAAGAGAGTTTATGTCACTTTGTGGCACCGGCTGCTAGGAGTCTTTTTCGCTAGAAACCTTTTTTCAAAAAAGGTCCTTTTTGGTGTTTTTGGATCTGCGTTTCGTACAGTTTGTCTTGCTTTTCAATCTACATTTTGGCTACTAGAGCATAGCTTGTACACGCGAAACTTTTGCACTTGGATTGCACCTTGAAAATCTCAGAAATCTAGGAATTCTATATCAGGGATTTTCATCTTAAATTCAGCCGTCGCTACAACACTTGGTTGATCTATTGCAGCCTTCATTTGCATACCATTGCCGCCCACGGCTTTTGTAAGAAGTCGATAATCCTCAATTGTTAGACTCACTACTGAACTACTGGTCAACGTTTGCTATCAATAATACCGGTGTGGTAACTGGCAACGTATCAACATCACTGTCCTTAAGGCTCACATTTTCTTACATCAACTACAAAAGCAGGTTGAGCGCACTGCCTTTGCTATTGTGGATTTCACTAGGGATTTTATCACTCTGCCTCTTTGAGTTTTGGTGCATGGCTAATCGGTATTCTACCTGGTGACGGTGAAGTC